ATACAGAACATGCATTTTTCTTTCTGTGTGTGTGTAATTTTTTTTTTGGTGCTTATGTGTGTCTGACGGATGAATCCTGTCTGCCAGATTAATGTAGTCTGCAAGTGTGTTCTACATCTAAGGCCAAACAGCTACTCAAATTAGATGTGATTAAATGCTCCAGTGTGATTCAGGTTCAAAGAGTGTTTGTAATACTAATCAACACGCACATACTCACACACACATAGACACAAACACCATGCACATGATCACTGGGTGAGGATGTGGGAGCAAAACTTCACTAGCGGGCTAATAATAATAATGCCCCCATTTTTATTGTTTTCGGAAGGCATCCTTCAGCAGAATCCCACAGCATCACTCAGTAAGCACCCACTGGGAGACGGTCCTGAAATGCTCTCTGTTAATTTAGAGGCTGGAAACAATTTAGTTTGCACTGAAGCATGGCAGACTCTTAGGGTCAGGATTTTTTTTTCTTTTTTAGATGGGACCAAAATGTCTCGGCGTTGATTGATAAATTACTTTAAGGAAGTCTGGATTTGTTTTGGAGTACAGTTCAGCTTAAAGACGACACCTTCACTGTGTGCACTGTGCAGAAACCTTTAACACAGAAAAACTTTTTTAAGTCAAATTCTACATATCCTATAAGGCCAAAGTCAATGGCTTGCTGTGGTGGGATGTAACAAAGTATAAGTACTTCGTTATTGTACTTAAGTACATTTTTATGCATCTGTACTTTACTTAAGTAGAGTTAAACGTGGGTACTTCAGACTTTCCCTCCACTACATTTTACATTAAGTATCTGTACTTTCTACTACACTACATTTCTTTAATGCATCGCTTTACAAGTTCTATCCACATTGTGTTTTTTTTTTTTTATTTGTTCATTAGTTTGAAAATAACCAATGGTGAGAGGGGAGTTGGTCCATTGAATCACTGCAAAGTGGTCAGGTAACGTTAAATCTGCCTTCAAGAAGAGCTGGGCCAATGACATATATTCTAGTATATACATCATTGAGCTGGGGCACCCACAGCACCGCTAACACCCAAAATGGATTCCACTGTAGAGCGTCAGTCAGAAGATGCACACCACCCATGACCTTATTGAAAGACTATTGAAAGACTATGCAGTACAGCAAGCCAGATTCTCTCTCCCAAAAGAGCCAGGCTGGTTGGTTGAAAACCATTTTCTTCTGAACTTGAACAAGAAATTCTTGCTGCAATATTAAAAGAAGGTGTCAGTTCATGGGATGTTAGGAGACAAGAGATGTCTCCAAATGGCTTGACACTAGGGTCCAAGTTAAAATATCGTTCACTATTGATTCATTGCAAGGTTCACTAGACAAGTAGAGTTGATGACAAACTGGAGTTGAAATGATCAGAGCCTATTTCTTTATTAGCTAACGCTTCTTTTTTCAGGCAGACAACTTTTACTTAAATGTGTTTACTGCAGTTAAAATGACACGTTGGTTTTGCTTTGTGTTAAATAAAAACTTTCAAAGGTAAAATCATTCCTCTTTCTTATTTTGATTAATGTCATTTAACTCTGCAGGTCATCCCAGAAATTCTGATGCACAGAATCACAAATCCAAGTGTGAACTGTGTTACAGAGTAAACACAATAAAAACATGTATTATCTGCAACATTGTTCATTAAAATAATACAACACTATTAATGCATTACAGAAAATATACAGTAGACACACTTAATAATATTGTAGACCATTGCATTAGGTAATACATTCAGCATTTTACTTTTAATAATTTAAGTATTTTTTTAAACGCAAGTACATACTTTTGCTTAAGTAAAAATGTTAATGTGATACTTCTACTTTTACTAGGGTACATTTTTGTCTGTTTATTTGTGCTTTTAATTAAGTACAGTGTTTGAGTACTTTCTCCAGCACTGATAGCTTGGCATTATAAAATTGTTAAAACTCATTTATAGCTGTTGAATCTTCTGTAAAAAAATAAAAATAAAAAATGAATAAATAAGTAAAGACACAATTCCAACAGCAGTTGTAATACAGTATATAGAACATCTTTAACATTAGAACTGTATCACAATTCAGTTTGTGGCCTTTATCGAATTATCTCAAAACACCCAACATGCAACATTTTAAAGGTGTTACTGTAAGTATGAAACAGAAAATAACACAATACCTAATAAAATTTATCCACACTTATAAAGCAATGGGGCACCTAAAGTGGCAGGGTTGGCTCATGGTTTTATGGTTTCAAGCCAAACCAGACTGGCAAAGAGCCAATGGGAAAAAAAAAAAATCAAGTAGAAAGCATGAGCAGCAACATATTTGGCCCTTAAATAAGAGAAGTGCAATAAAGTGTTTGTTTCAAAACGTAATGAAAATTGCCAGCCCCCAGATACACCCATCAGTTATGACTCAGGCCCACACCCAAAACACTCCAATTAAAGTGCTATGCACTGTAAAAATATAATCAAGAAAAAAAAAATGCATTGATGCACTTTTGAATTCCATTATCATTTTCATAAGCAAAAAGAGAACTCAATAATTTTTTGGGAGGCAATTTGTTTCATCTGCAGCAAAAAGGTAAACATCAAATGTACAAAAACAATAATTTAATAACTATAATTGGCAATAATTAACGTAAATAATTGTCAGATCTGAAGATCTGTTAGGGCTACAATTTATGAGTTCAAGTTTCAATATTCTGACACACCTAGTTGTGAGATGTTTTCTGTCATTTTCACAGATAAGATAAACCTTCACTCAGGTTCCTTAACCTTTTAACTTGCATTAAATTACACATTACCTCCACAGACTGTACTTTAAAGAGCTGCTTCAGATCTAAAGGGGACTCTTTAATGCACACACAAACCCCCCCCCCAAAAAAAACAGTGCAGATATTTGTGGATTTAAAGTAGTGTTTTGACCCTAGAAAATAAAATTCTCAAGCGGAGACTGTAAAATGTTAATCTTAAAAAAGACAAGAAGTGTAGCAGTGAGTTTACTTGGACATGATTCAGCAGTCTGTTGTAAAGATGGCCATCCTGCAAATATGTTGAGGCTGTAAATCTGGTGGACTGTTTACGACACATTGTGCAGCATTCCTTGCCCATATATGACTCTGTACATCAGCTCTTCATTTTATTTACCACAGCTAAAGATAGAGAAATAGAATTTGGATTGATGATGTGCCGTTTTATAAAATGTAAAATGCATTATGTGTTGGTGGTCTGCCTAAAACGTGACTTCATAAAACTTGAATTATTGTATGCTCGGTCATATTTTTACCCCTAATTTCCTAATTTGATACTGAAAAATATAGAACTGTTACAGCATAAATATGTAGGTCAAGCAGAATAATCCTGCAGCTTAAAGCACTTGTTCTAATGCAAGTCCAATGTAGGCCAGTATGTATATTCTAATTACAGTGAGCATTAAAAGGTATAATAGTTGAGGTGTTGGGAGACGAAAGCTGTCACATTGGTCCTACTTTGTGATTAATGATGTAATTAGGTGCTCCAATTCTTGTCAGAACTCACATGCATGGACACACAAATACATGCACCACATGCAAGCACACACAGTCACACAGAGGCCTATTAATGGCCTTGAACAGGAGAATCCAGATGCGGCATGCAGATAATTGCACTAAAAACAGAAAAATGTGGAGTCCCGGGCAAGCACAACTTTATTCTGAGCTCAGCATGTTTATTTTTGCAAATTAGTTATTTCTGGAGGGACCTAAATCATAGAATAAAAACACCTCAATGAACGTCAAATTTTAATAGAAAACAAAGTGTATTTTAAATGCACACTCACTCCTCAATGTGCTACTATTCACCTCACTCAAACCAACACATTACATTACCTTGCTATGCTGGTTTAATGCTTGTTAAATGCAATTTAAGAGTCTGGCGTTAAACTGTTATGTTTATTCAACTTAAAATACCTTCTCAGACTCGTGCAATAGTCATTCACATGAGCTTTACTGAACGGTCAGACTGAAAAGTCAAGAAAGTATCAAAAATGAGCTAACATGTCACATTAATGCAATTGTTTTTATAAGTTAACTCTGTTTTGCTCATTGGCTGATTTTGGCTCAGTCTTTAATTTTGTATTTTTTCCATCCAGTACAAAAGTAGCGCAGGTGTGTGTGGGTGACTGTGAGAATGTTTCGGTTTCTGAGTGTGTTTATGAGCGTGAGTAGACAATGTGTTTGTCACAACTCTGAATTTACAACATCCTGCTTGATGATGTGGATAGTAACTAGAGATCTGCTTCAAAGACACAGACATTCCTACCAATGTTTCACAAGGCGTACCCTTCAGTCCTTTCAGGGTATATTTGTACATCTATCTGTGTGTTTATGGGGAGTCTACACCTGTAGACAGCCAATGGTCGCAACTCCCTCCTTACAGACAGACAGATACACACACGCACACAGACTATGGTAATGACAGATGAAAGATGTCATACCCTCCTTATCCTACTGTCTGTTACACTATTACATACCCATGAGTCACACTGCAGTACCACTAATACAGCACTTAGCAGACCACTTCAAAGATGTTTCCATCATTTCTGTGGAATCTTGGTCTGAATTTCGGAAGTTCAGGAATGAGCTAACTTGCCTTGACATTTCCATATTCACAAGGATTCACAGCTGCAGTGTGGCAGCTATACAGAGAACATTTCTGCGCTATTCACTTGTTTGTTTTGATCTGCTCAAGATAATTTAACCAAACTTGATACACATTTGTACCAAAAATAGACAGCATGTTCCGTAATCTGTTCATCACCCCAGCTCTAAGATCAAGGTTACAATTCAAGGTCTTTGCTTCTCTGGACCATTGCTATAGATTGCTGTATTGCTGTTTTAATAGTTTGTCAACGGGCCTATAATGTGCCATATATGGTACTCTTAAAATCTATATATTTTCTTTTAAGCATACAGGCAATTATACTTTTTTTTATTATTAGTCAATACAGTCTTTCTTGCCTTCTCCTCACATCACAGGCAACAAGCTTTGCTGGCAGCCATCAGTGAAAAAGACGCTAACATTGCCTTGCTGGAATTATCATCCTCTAAACGCAAGAAAGCCCAGGAGGAAGTGATGGCACTGAAGAGGGAAAAGGACAGGCTCATGCACCAGCTCAAACAACAGGTACACACACATGTGGCCGTATCTGTTAGTGCTTAGATTTAGACAGAAGGAATGACATCCACAGTACTCATAGACTTAAAATCTGACAGGCTCACACATGACTTGGTCATCCTTTTGGACTAACTGTGGCTTTATGAATCAAAGCAGGGTTACAAATTAAAACCTGCTGCACATGTTGAGGCAATGCTTGCATTACAGTAGCCTCATGACATGACTTTTGAACTGTAAAGCCAGAAAAAGATAGAGGTTAATAAGATGTGATAGTTAACAGAATCTACTTTCCCAAACTCAAACTTCACTGGCTGCATTCAATCATAATAAGTCAAAGTACTAAAGCAGGAGATTTAATTCCAAATCCAGACATAATGACATGTGACAGAAGCTATGCTCCAAACAATTACGTTGCAGTCATACCTATTGAATGAAAAGCTCCAGGCTTGTGTCATTAGTAAGTCACTGGTAGGCTTTTCTGTCTGCTTTTTTCTCTGGTCTAACAGACATAAATCCCAAACTTGCATGTAATTTTGAATACCCACACCTTTCCAGTTCCCATGCTACCCTGGGTTTTAGTATGATCAGAGGCTGAGGAAGGTATGTGGGTCATTAAGCCCTGGTCAGACCGCATAAGTGACTGATCTAACGTGAATGCTCCCAGTAATGAACTAACAGCAGGGAATCCACATGCACGGTATCCTGAGTCATTGATGCTTCTGGGAAAAACGGTACGTTTAAAAGTCAATAGATGCAATGCCTGGTTGTCTGTTTAAGTACAAGTCTATGTTTGGATCTTGTAAACGGTAAACAGTTCCTTGGGGGTACAAATTCATTCAATGTATTTCAAGGAAGGCCTTTTATTTGTTTATCATTATTTGATGTGTCATGGTTTCCATTTGCGTAAATGGCGGTTACAATCTACCTGTTTATGTAATGAGTGGCTCTAATTGCAGCAATGTGGTCTTTGGATTCCAGGCAGGAGAACATATGTATATAAAATAGGACCAACTTTTTCTCAAGAGTACAAAAGGAGAGGCCTTAAACAAATGTTCTTTCTCCCTTGTTTCCTGTGTGAAAACCAATAGTTAATGTTTTTTAACGTCTTGAGGTGCACAACATAAGTTCTCCTACATTGAAAAAAAACAACTATTTTTTAGTTCTAAAATGTATTTCACTGTACAATAAAAAATAAATTACATCTGATATTAAAAGGTTTAGCCAACGTACTACTTGCCCAGTTTTATTTATGTCAGTTTCTGCAGCTATAAATAAATGGTGCTTACAATGCTTTTATTTTCCAAATATGTTAAACAAATGTACATTTTTTGTTTAATTGGGGTCTTTTGGTAGTAAATTTTGGTTTGCCAGTAAATTATTCAAAATAAATACTAAATATGAAGAAAATGTATTTTAAAAAAAAGACAAATTATAAATAAGAAAATTAAACAAATAGTAATTATAAAGAATAACAATAGGCTATTATCGTTTGATGCAAAGACTTGACTCAAAGTGAGTGCAAAAACATTCAAAGTTCAAAGGAAAACTTTTCAAGATCATTAGAAGGTTTGGGGAACTATTTTCCAGGACCGCTTTGAAACTTTACAAAAACCGTCTGCCTCACTGGAAAGAACATGTAAAGAGATGAGAGATGGTTCAAGACTTGTGCACAGTATTGCATTTTGCACAATAAGATCGAAGGAGGTGGTGTTGGTCAACATGGCACACCTTTATTCATTAACCCGTTGACAGACATTTCAGAAAAGGTTGCTGTGTCCTCAGATATCCATGATGGAAGGAAACTGACCAGGAAATGCCAAAGAATTAGGAGACGCAGAGGCTCTTAGGAGAAAGTTGATATGGAGGCACCAGATTGATTTACTGATAGCACTGGTCTTTTAACCTTCTTGCATCCCTGTTTTTGAAATGTATGCATGCGTGTGTGTTGATATGTGTATGTAAAGCACAGTCTCTAAAACAAACTTCCCTGCCATTCCTTTCAGCACAGACAACCACACATGGCCATACAAACACACATAGAGAGTGTTTAGGTTTCTGTGTCCCCATGTGGGAATTCTTTGGGTATTTCATCTAAGTAATGGATGACCACACATCACTGGTGCTTTGAAGCTGAGGAAAAGATGAATTGGGAAATGTTAGAGGCGTGTCTTCTCTGGGACCGTTTCTCTTTATCTTCTTCGGCTTCTACTTGGACGCGCTTGGGCATCTCTTATAGAGTATTTAAGAGCCTGGTAGAGTTAGCTCTACTCTGTTTTTGCTGTGAAAATGGAGTGATGCTGAACACACACAGAAAGACCCAGAGATCTGATTTAAGAAGCATGTTTAAATGTTATGAAACTTACACAGCCTTGCTTCAGCTGTCTGTTTATTTAAGATCTTTCTTGTCAGCTTCCTGTGTCCATGTGTGGTAACGTAGCCACTCTCTAATCAGTGCAAGCTTGTGATTTACAGAGTGTTTGTCAAAAATGCAGCTGTGAACACAGCAGTGTTTACATCAGCAGCTGCACATAGATACACATGCAAAAACACACATGCACAGCCCAGATAGATGGTCTGTTATGCTTAAAGATGTCAGTGACAGAATAAAAATTCTTTCCTCCAACCCCCATCACCAGTGGTGCCACCTGTCTGTCTGTCTGCATACTAAAAGCAGACCTGGAGGCTATCAGCATGCTATTAACTCTACTAGACTACTAATTACCACTAATTAAAACTCACACATTCCATCTCACGAGCAGTTGTACATCTGAACACCTTCTGTACACATGGATCAAATAATGTCCTTATGAGAAGGGTTGATGTTTGTCTTTGTGTGTAAATGTGTTTGAATGAAATGAAAAATGTGGACTGTTTTGACCACACAAGAGGACTCGTTCAAAGCTTGTATTTTTGTCTCAAGTCTTTAATATTTTCGTTCACACAGACATGCACACTTAGCGTTTTATTCTGCTAAGCATGGTTCAGTTCAGTTTATTCAATTTAGTTTATTTATGTGGCACCAAGTCACAACAGAAGTCGTCTCAGGGCACTGAACAGAAATATTCATGTATAAATAAGTAATCAGAAACGTTCATATTTAAAATAATAATTTAACATTAATTATCTGAGGAGCAGACTGCTTTGAGTTTAACTCCATCGCAGAACTCTCATCTTGAGCAAGCATGAAGGCGACAGTGGAAAGGAAAAACTCTCTCATGAGGAAGAAACCTTTAGCAGAACCAGGCTCAGGACAAGCAGCCATCTGCTTCGACCGGCTGTGTTTGAGAGGAACCGGAAGGAGGAACAGATACACAATGGCAGGTCAAGAATCACATGTTCAGATAGAAATATAAAATGAAAACTATTCAATTTTAACAATTAATTTAAGGAAATTAAGTCAAGTTGTCCTCCAGTAGTCTAAACCTATAGCAGCATAACAAGCCAACCCTAACTATAGGATTTATCAAAAAGGAAAGTCTTAACTCCAGTCTTAAAACTGGACAATGTGTCAGCCTTAAAGGCAGTATATAGAAGTTGGTTCCACAAGAGAGGAGCCTGATAACTGGAAGACCTTCCTCCCATTCTGCTTTTTGAAACTAGGGACCGCAAGATGACCTGCAATCTGAGAGTGAAGTGCTCTGTTAGGAAAATATGGAACAGTAAGATCTTGAATATAAGATGCAGCTAGGTTGTTGAGGGCTTTGTAGGTTAGAAGTAAGTAGATTATATAAGTATGATTGCTTAAAGAACAAGTAATATAGTTCGTAATATATTACCATCAATGACTAAACACACCATTTTCATAGATCTATGTGTAAATTGTCCTGAACATGCAGCAAATTTAGAAATGTGCAGGATTAGTTAAACACTAGAAGATTTCACATGCAGGTCCCATGTGTATCTTCTCTATTGCAGTAGAGGGGTTTAATCAGCTGCTTGGTCCATATTAGTCTTTGTTCTGTCCCCAATGACAGGTGACAGCTCTGTAAGTGTTAAACTGAGCCTAGCTCCACCCCGTCACACCTGCTAGTGTCAAAACCTGAGGTCATGAAAAGCTGTACACTTCAACCTGACATTTAAGAATTCTAACAACTGGTTTGGTGTTTGTTTGAACATCTCCCCTCCCATACACACACACACACACACACACACACACATATAACACACATATAACACACTCATTCCTCACTTGTTCTTCGCCTTGATGGTGTTCTCACCTTATTTTAGCTGTTCTTCTCCAGTTTAAACTACGTAATTGCTAACCTCTTTTACCAGCCACATCCTCCCCTGTGATCCTGACTGGCTTGTTTCCTCAGTCATTAAGCTTCAGCCTCTTATCTCAGCGCTGATATCCCCAGGCTGCTAACTACTGTAACACCATCATGCTGCTATCTTCACAGCTGATGAGCTATTTGGCTTTTCTTCCCATGCCTGTGTCTCATTAAACTAGGGAAACCGCAAAAAAAGTTTGGATGAGAAATGTGTACATGTCTTTCCTTGGAGTCATCCATCCACAACCCATACACAATTCGACCTCTCGCTCTGCAATCATGTCTGGCCTCAGGGGAAGTATCTAGAGTTAATAGAATAAAGCTGAGTCTGTCAATATATCTCCACCTTCTATTGTGTTTTTTCTGTCTATCTTTTTGACAGTTGAGGCTGATTGCTAACGTTAGTCAACACGTATATCTGCCTTTAAAGCAATGAACTTGGCAACATGTCAGACACCTTCACTTACACATGCATACAATGGACACATAGTCTCACGCACTAATTTAAAGGTGTTTCTGCATATTTAAGTGTAATTTTAATCAGTGACTTCTAAAGTAAGGTGCTTCATTCAAGCCAGAACGCCTGTGGCCTCAGGCTGCACAAAACAGTAACTAACTGTACTTATGAGGATTTGTCCTTTTCACATTTAATCATAATCTAAAATATGCATGATACTTGACAGACTTACGATATTTTCATCAGGCGCGCCGACTCACAATTTATGACCTGTCAAATGTTGTTAGCGACTCAGTTTTTATCAGCTTTGATGGCTTTCAACATAGTTTTTCCCCATCCAAAAATTCCTCAGCCTAATCATTCTAAGACCCGGAGTACATTTTCATGAAACAAACAAGCAGCGGTAGAAAAATTAATGGCCTGCTGTCTGTGTGTGGGTGTTTTTCTGTGCATTTTAAAATATTCTGTTTCCTGTGTTTCTCTTTTTTTCTTCTTGCAGACTCAAAGCAGGATGAAGCTGATAGCAGATAATTATGAGGAAGATTATGTCCATCCCCAGCATCATCCTCATCATTTGCACCACATGCATCAGGCAAATGTGCATCATCGGAGTCTCCCAAGAGGGGCCCCCCATGCTAACCACAGACCCCCCATAGACCAGGTCAATATAAATAAAGCACACAGATGCACTGTAAGTCAGCGGTTAAACTTTGGGCTTGTTTACACAAGCTGACATGTTGTGAGCTTTTATCTTCACGTCTTTAAAGCTGATGCAACTTATTATTTATCTGCTCCACCAGGACTTAGTTATAGTCTGATTTGACAGCATAAAATTTCTTGTCTCCTTTCTCTCTCTTTTATATACCGCAATGTTTCCTGCCAAGTTAGTCTTTTTTTTATATAATTTAGATAAGAAGCCTGAAGGAGAAACTTGACAGATTGTTTTTGATTGATGGGAATTGTTTTTGAGATTAGTTTATGTGAGATCCAACTCTTATACAAGCATTTCTGTCAAGGTATAACACACCCTGAGGACATGCTTAATGCATTTCAAGACAAATACAAGTTAACAAACTGATGTTGATTTAAGCACACTTATGTGTAAGACTGCTTGTGTTATGTGAGCATCAAAGTACACAGCGTGTGCTCGTCTATAGGTGTATAACACTGTTGATGCACACCTGAGTGTTTAATACCCAGATGAAACAGCCTATGGGTGAAAGCAATCATCAGTGAAAAAAAAAGTTGCTGTCTCTATCAGCTCATAAAAAAACATCTTGCTATTTAAATGTAATTTAAACTCATCGCGGCTCTATTGTTGTAAATGGGGGATTCCAGACCATCAAAACATGAACGTGTCTAAGTGAGCGTGAGGCTTTAAGATGAACACTTGGGAAATTCCACCTGGCTTTAAATTCCTTTTTTTTTTTTTTTTTTGGTTTCGATCCATAATGAACTATAGCATGTTTCTTTTCTGACTTTTATAAATGTTGTTGAAACTTCTGTTTAATTTGGATTCAAACATGAGCTGGGGATCCCCTGCGTTCAATAACTTTAAAACACATACACATGCTTGGAAATGTTTTAGAAACCTGCAGAAGGATGGGGTGGTTGGTTTGAATCATTTAAGCCTTTCATGTCTGTGGAAAGACAAATGTTAATTCCTTGAAGAATGTGAGGGTCTGTGATTGACTGACACCCCTTTTCACTAAGGAATTTCAAACATACTCGAGACATGTTGCCTTTAAAAACAGGTTGCGCAAGCATCTGCATTCTTTTCACTCTTTAACACGTTCACGAGTCTACCTGTACAGTAAAAATCAGAAGCCGCAGCTTATTGAGAATCAGAGTGAACTGATTTAGGATAGAAATTATCTTGGTATGTCAGTAGGATCTATTCTTTAAGTGATTGTAGTTTCATGGTTGCAGACATCTGGTCAGGACACTATATCGTGTTGTTTTCCTGCGCTACACGAACTACAGCAGGGTTTATATTAAACTGTAAAGAAGAGGCATTTCTTTCACAAAACATTACTCTGTGCAAAAGTTCATTCTCAATCATCCACGTACAAAATCCAATAATGGTCAATCAGGTCAGCTTCTTTTTTGTGGAAAGACGTTTCACCCTCTATCCGGAGGGCTTCATCAGTCTGAGGAGTCCCAAGTAAACCGTTTTCCCAACTAAGCAGTACACTCCTTTAGTGGACCAACCAGTTTGCTGGTGATAAGATGGTTTCTCGGGGCTGTCCTGTCCCCCATCAACTCCTCCCAGGCAGGCAGCCACAGCCAAAGTGGTTCAAGACATCAAAGTGATTGAGCATGAACTTTGATGTCATCAGCAAACTGGTTGGTTCACTAAAGGAGTGTACTGCTTAGTGGGGAAAACAGTTTACTTGGGACTCCTCAGACTGATGAAGCCACCTGCTTCGGATGTTATCATCCATTAAATGACAGTAATTAGTTGTTATCTTCCCCATATGTAGCATTCAGACTGCCCCTCCTCTACCTCCTAGTAGGTTTTAAAGGTACGTTCTTATCGCTGATAATACGGGCACGTTGTTTGGTTAAGAGTCAAGGGGCTGGGGCTTTTGTTTTAAATGGGTCTGGGGGTTAGGTTTATGGTCAGGGTTAAGGTTCAAGGGTAAGGGAGTTAAGTTTAGGGTCAGTGCCCTGGGTCACCTGTAAGGTTAGGTTTAGGAAAAGGGTTATATAAAGCTAATTAAAATACACTTCCGGTTTTACATGCGAGCTGCATTCCATATTATCACCCAAAAAAAACATGACTTTAAACTTACTAGGAGGTTGGAAGGAACAGTCTGAATGCTATCTATGGGGATGATAACAACTAATAATGTCCATTTAATGGACTGATAACATCCGAAGCTGCTGATGAAGCCCTCCGGATAGAGGGTGAAGTATCTTTCCACAAAAAAGAAACTGTCCAAATGACCTGATTGACCATTACTGAATTATTCTGTCACTTTACAAAGATCACTGCTTTAAAATGACTTACTGTTTTATCAGTATTGTTCTGTTGAGTTTGACATTTGAATAAACAACTTTCTGCAAGTTATATTTCAACTTTCAAGCTAGATGAATATTAGCATAAAAGGCTAAGGAAACAAGAATGTGCAGAATATCAAACTAAGCCCTAACTTTGTGAAGAATGAATACCTAAATACCTACTGTAGCTAGCTGTTTATTTTATTTTGAACCTATTTTTCATTCTTTTAACATCAGTTTGTTGTATTATGGTACCCCCTGAAAACTTTTTCTCAGCTTGTCCTCTTTACCCATCTTTCCATCCATTTCTCCCTTTTAAATTTAATGTACGACTTGAGTCACTCAAGTGGTTCACTGCCTTACTGATCCAGAAACACCACACCAAGGATGATTGATAATGATAATGATGATGAAGAGGGTTTTGATGCTCACCCTGGAAACCACAATGCCTTTCCAAGATGCAGCTGGTGCCGGTGCCATGAATAACATAACAGTGACAACGCATGCATAGCTTTCTGCTTTTGCATAGTAACCAGTACAGACACACAAGGAAGCAGGTTTCTGACACACAACTGGACATGCTGGACTGCCGAGATGGATCCACAAATTCAAGAAACAATTTTCTTAGGAGCCAAACCGCATGTTATTCAATGCTTGTGGTCACAGTTTGTGCTCACATCCCAATCCTATAACTTTACTCCATGTCCTCTACTTAATTTGTAATCAACTTAGTTGGAGAACAGGTGAAATCTAATTAGACGAGACATGTCCAGGAAGTGTATTTACCCTTTGGAGATGCATTCTGGGTCTGTATTTCAGCATGGAGCATTCAGTTTGACGGGCATGCTGGGCTCATGTTGTTCTCATTTAGCATGCCAGCACCATCGCCTGATACTTGGCAACAACAGTGGAAGGAAATAGAAAACAGCCATAAAGAGTTTATCTGAGACTGAATTATGCAAACATTTCTTCTGGGTTTTCTTTTTTTTCTGATTCTTAACATGCTGCCTGCTTTGGGTTTAATGTATGCTATTCAGACTTCTGGTTTGCATGTGTTTGCATGTCTGGCTCTGCTGTATTCACTGCATGTTGGCATTTAGCATTGAGCATGTTCCAATGAAAGACCATTATACGTATAGCTTAGCAACTTGTATTTAACCTGTTAAGTTTATCAGGCTTGTCACAACTCTTCAGTTTAACAAACGCTATTATGAACTGGAGCCCAGCTCGTGTGTAGTTTTAGCTCTGGTATCACTCCAGCATGGACTCGATTGCCTAGACCTATTTTAGCATTATGCAGACAAGAATTTGATTGCAGTGAACTGCCAGCTCTTGCTTACCATTGTAATGGTATTGTCTAAACGAATTAGTCTTTTTGTTAGCAGAGTTTTTGTCTGCACAGTTTCAGCAACAAGGAAACCTGCTACATGTTTGATTTGTAACAAACTTTCTAAAACAAAAGCATATCATGATATCATACCCACCTTCTATGAATGAAAGCACAAGTCACAGGGGGTTAGAGGGGCCATAGGATTTTACTGCAGGACGGAGTTTAATTTGTTAATACTTTATTAGAAATCAGCTTTTGACTGAAATGTCTTGAAATAAACAATCTTTTTATTATTGTAATAATTGCTGTTTAATGTCATTAGTATTGGAAAAGTGTATGAATGTGTTTTCTCTGTTTATTCACAGGATGATGAGGAGGGAATATGGGCATGAAGACCTTTATCATAAGAACTTGCAACTTCCTGTTCATTGTAAGTTTATATTACACACCTACTTTTAGTTTTAGAATCAATCTACTTTATACCAGAAAGCAGTACTAGGTATAATTTCCAGATAATTTATTGATATTCTGTACGGTATGTTTCTTTAGTGGCTTTAAGTCACCATTAGCAGGGATCACTGATGGTACCACCCTAACCACAGCTTTGCCATACACCAACAGAGGAACGTTTTATAGAACCCTAGTCTGTTTCCATTGCTTGTGAATTTCAGCCGACTAAAGAGTGTCGGTTGATTTTGAGGTTTATGGGTGCTTTCTGTGAAGTGCTCATAAGCTGGTGGTGCTGCATGTGGTACACGCACTCTGTGGATATATAGGCAACTGTGCGGTTAAAACTGTGCACACCCTGCTGCCTACAACTAGCAAACCAGAGCCCATAGGTGATAAAAATGACACAATGAGGAAAACCAGAGATGGACAAGTCTGTCTTTCTGCACCCAACTTTTCCAGTCAGAGTAAACGTTACCATCCTACCTCTCCTCATTGAATGCTAGTGTATGGGGTGGTTAATTGCAATACAGTCCAGAACACTTTTTTTGTTGTTGTTGTTTTTTATGCTTCAAGCTGCAAATGCATAAAATAAAGAATGCTGAATCATAAAGCATTTTTCTTATTTTGGGTGTTTTATATATAGCCTATATGGGCAGCTGTGTCTGAGTGGTTAGAGCAGTCATCCTCCAATGCAAGAGTTGGGGGTTCGATTCCACCAGCAGTCACATGTTGAAGTGTTCCTGGGCAAGACAATGAAACCCTCATTGCCTCCGATGTGTGTCCCATCGGTGTATGAATGTGATCTAAAGCACTGATTAGACTCTATAGATTCAGATTAGCGTTGTAGAGATCTAGTAGAGTGCTGTATGAAAGTGTAAATGAGGACACAGGTTGTAGTGTAAAGCGGTGTGACTAGATAGAAAGGCTCTATATAAGTATAGTCCATTTATATATAGCCTGTGATGAACAGACAAGATGATAATTGAAAGGAAAATGCTGCTTGTGTGGGAATGAATAATAATAATAAAAAAAGCATGCAGTCCGTTACACTCGGTGTTTCCATTGCATCTCATTCTCTTCCTGTAGTAATCTACAGGTGAAACATTGCAGGCAGATTTTGTTTTCAGGCTCAGTGATTTACACTCTTCCCCAACTTTTAACTTGTAGGATTAAGTGTGTGTGTGTGTGTGTGAGCAAGCGGTTTGTCTCCTTTCGGTGCAGAATTTGGGTTTGGTTGTCTGTGCCTCTGCAAGTGTATATATGCATGTTTCAGAGAGTGTTGCTGAGCTATAGAGCGTCAGAGCAGCCCACATAGTTTATAATCCAGTCCATGTGTGCTGAGAATGCAGCAGTGTCAGGATTCACTGCAATGAAACAGACCACACTGCCCCCTTTCTCCCTCTGTTTTCATATTTTTTCACCACTCCTTTTCTCTCTGTTTTTTAACCTTTTTTTTGCATTTTTAAATTTTATTTTTACTCCAAGTCATATTTTCTAAACTAATCCTGGATTTGGACCTGCTGGTTCAGTATTTCAATCAGTTTTTGTGATAGCGTGTGCACTTACACACTTGTGTATGTGTTATTGTGTTTTAGTCATTTTTACTCCAATCTAATAGAATAAGCCAGGCACATTAGGTTATAGTGCATAATAGTGTTGTAGCTCACAGTATCAGCACCGCTCATCTATCCGCTCCTGTTATTCTGGATCCACACAACGCAAGCGCAGCTAACGTTTATTAGCTATACTCTGTGGCAGAACAGATGGGAGCCATTCTGTGGTGTGTAGCTACAGCGCAATAAGTCCATACCTAATCCCCATATCCTGTCCCTGAGTGAGCCCTCTCTAATATGAGCAAACATAGATGACAGCAGAGATAGACAAATAGTTGTGTGTCTGCATGCATGTGTGCATGATGGATTTGATTGCTGTCTTGTAAGAATAGCCTTTAGTTCCAGCATTTTGAATTTTGAGTTCCAAGTCTAAACCATCCAGGTGTTGATTTCTGTTCTTTAGCTGTGGTTCTGTCTTAGTGGATACCTGATTCTGATTGGTTCATTGAGGTTGTGTATGTCCTGCTGTTGATTACTGAGGTTTTGTTTACCCTCTGGCCTCCATAGACCCCCCTGTAATGAAATAAAAATGTCCTTTTTGGGGGGTTGGAGAAAAAAGGGAAGGATCATGGTGCCAAAAAACGTGAAACAGAGTTTGGGAAGGAGATTTTCTGGAAACATTTTACTTTCGTCCCACCCTGAAGTTATTTGTACTGTGTAAGGCTAAAAGAAGCTGAGTGGCTTTCCATGTGGGGACAGAAATATGTTTGTGTACACGTGTGTGCATGCAGATATGCATGTGTGTGCAAGCAGGAGAAAGTAAGGTCTTGTTCAGGTTAAAACAAGTCAAAAAATGACTTTGGTTTGCCTATGCTGGTCAACGTCAACGTGTATCCCACTCTCGTGAATAAACAAAACACTGTAAAAACTTTGCAGTAAACTGAAACATGGCAGATAATTTTAAACCACAGTTGTTATTCTAAATTACAGTTAATTTAAGGTGTCACTGAAATGTTTGTTTTTGTCTTTGATTTGATGCTTTCTAATTATTTCAAGCTCCTTACACCCAGTGATGAACTCAGAACTGACCTCTGTGAAAGTCATGAACCAAAACGTCAGAATAAAAGCCGAAAGCAGCAGGAAAATCTAAAACATTACACTGAGATTAAATAATTTCCCAAAGACGTTCACCAAACTTTAGCTTGCTGTTCACGTCTAATCTGAATATAAATGTAACAGTATGTGAAATACAACAAAGTTAAGTCAGGTCCTCTGGACTGTTTCTTGTTTGTTGAAATATTTCGTCCTTCATCCAGAGGACTTCATCAGTCAATGCGAGGAGCCACAACAAACTCAAACCCACAAGCAGCAAACTCACATAGTGGGTCAACCAGTTTGATGGTGAAAAGATGGTTTCTGGAGTCTGCCCTCTCCCCCGTCGACTCCTCTGTGGCAGTCATGGCCAAAGTGGTTCAAAACATCAAAGTTCATGCTCAATAATCCAGGTAAAAAAAAATCCAACAAAGTTAGGTCAGGTCCTCTGGATGGTTTCTTTTGCTCCATCAATCCTTTGAATTGGAAACCATCTTATCACCAGCAAACTGGTTGGTCCACTATGTGAGTTTGCTGCTTGTGGGACTGAGTTTTCCTTCATCCTTGGACTGATGAAGTCCTTTGGATGAAGGGCGAAATGTTTATCCAAAAAATAAAAATAAAATTGTCCAGAGGACCTGACTTAACTTTGTTGAATTTTTTTTACTGGATTATTGAGCATGAACTTTCAAGTACAGCATATGTAATATTTATGCAAAAACATATGGAAAAATACATGTTTTTTTTTTTCCAAGACATCCTTATTATTCTTCTATACTCAAATATAAAACAGACCAGAATGGGTGTTTGTTAGTTTTTAGAAAACGTATATTTTTTGATAACTCTTATTATGTTCACATTTAATACAACATAATATAAAATCTCATCTAAACATCCCTAAAAATACAATTAACCTGAATAATTTGATGTTGTCTTGAATATTATTATCTATTACCTATGTATATATCTATCTATTAACTATATTTAGCTTGACTAAAACAAATAGAATCTGTTAAATATTAAATTAATATTTCAACATAAAACAGAGTGAACATTAAAAACTTTGTACTGGTTGTAGGTGTGTGTATAGTTATGGTTGAGTTGTTTTTATAACCTCAACTTATCTATATTTCTTCAAACAATAAACAAGTTTAAACTTTAAACATCAGACAGAGTTATAACGATCATTTGTAATGTTTAATTCAATGTTTCTCTTCCACATTTTCTGCAACGTGTCGGGTTAAAGCTCGCGTATAAATAGTAATTACCCCAAACAAAAATTACTGCAAGTTGATAGAACATGTTTTATAAGTTGCCTGAAGGAAGATTATAAAACTTCTTATAAACATAACATAGTAAGTGTTAAAAAATGAATGCACTGGTCTAATTCTGGATTTATTAAACAGTCAAGGGTCACTGCAAGAGAGTACTTGGATCTTTGTGTGAAAAGTTGTGGCATCAAATCTAAATGGGAGCATTTAACATAAATCTGCTTTTAGTGTGTTTTTAAGGGTATTATCAGTTACTTCACACAGTTTTAAAGCCGTCAAAGCATAAAAAACATGTAAATTATTTTATCAACTTGAGATTTTCTAGGCTTTTGTCTTGCTGCAAATGGCCGCAAACACCAAAACTATTGTTTTTATTTGTTATAATAGTGGAGTTTCTAGTTATTGGGATGTTCTTACATCAAGCAGTCTTGTGCCATGTGTCTTTGGTAATCAGTGAACCATGACTTGAAGGTCAGAGAAGGCGTCTGACCGAGGCCATCCTTTAACTCTCTGTCAGCATCATCAGTCCGTGAAGTCAAAGGTTGTTCCACCAGTTGCACATGAATGAAGAGAAGTCATTAACTCAGCAACACCTGAGGACTGACCCTTGACTATGCGGCATGTTGGATCTATTTCAGTTCATTTAGGCAAAATGCCTTTATCTGTTTCATTGACACAGCTGAAAGAAATTGTCTTTCCAAATATGCACAGATCTGAGGGAGGAATTTGGCTTTCTGCAAAAAAATAAAAAATAAACATGAAAACACTTACAAAACCCGAGTTATTGCTTCTGTTGGACACTACAGTTCTGTGATATTATAATTAATTTGACCAAAAAAAAACAATTTTAAACACAACATTCAATATTATTTTGTAATGGTGAAAGAGTCTATCATTGTCAGCACATTAAGCTGTAAATACAGAACCTTTCGAGGCATTTCAGCACAACTAGACAGCGGAGGAGGAGTTCAGGAAAAGAAGAAAGAAGGGAAGGTACAGCTGGACATGGTGTTGTGAGCCATACAA